TATGTCTCTCTTAAAATGTATGAAGTATCATAAAGATCATAGGACATATAAAAATATTTGATCTAATATTAAAATCTCCTAACTTATATAATTTGTTTTGTTATGGGTTATTTATTATTTAATTTTGAATTTAAAGATGAACGAGGAACGTCTCGTAATTAGCGCTCATTTTTTCAGCTCGGAATTGCGTGTCATTTCGCCCAGAACTTTTCCTTTTAACACTGCATTCATGTGTATAAATGCACTCAACGATTTAGTGCTGTTGCATGTCATATTCTGGCGCAGACATTTGTAATATCTTAATGTAGATACTTATCACATTCTTGTTTAACAACTGTAATGTATTCGAACACCTATTCGTAATATGCTCCCATGTCCTATTATAAATCCTTAATACACTTTCCTTATCGTTATAATCTCGCGTGTTTGCTTATCCAAACCAGAGAAAATAGTGGTGAAGCCATCCTATAATTATATAGAGATTCCTGAAAATAAAGTTTCTTGTATTTCATCAACAACAAAAGAGCTGTAATAAAAGATACTTTATCAGTTTCACATTTTATTTTTATCGCAGCATTCTTTAACACTTACAACGAAACTACTTTTCAAATTTATCTGCCTCAAGTGCCAGAAGGGGTCGCAGTGGCCGCGCGGTCTGAGGCGTGGGCCTTGTGCTGCTTGGTAGCTGGGACCGTGGGTTCGAATCCCACTCAAGCCATGGATGTTTGTCCGCGATTTTCTGTGTTGTGCTGTCCTGTGTACAGGCACAGGCCTTGCGACGGGCCGATCCCTCGTCCAAGGAGTCCTACCAAATATTCATAGATCAAGCCAACGAAAAGTTGGGACCCGCAGTGCTCAGGCACTTGAAGAACGGGTCGTTCCCAGTATCCCAGTATCCAGTATCCAAGTGCCAGAAACTCAGTGTTTGTATAAATGAAGTGTGGGATTTTACACAACCAAAACCTTTTAACTTAGAACACATTCCACTCTTTTTCATCCAATATGATGTACACGCAATAGATACTGATTAAAAATGTATTTTCACTATAACATAGAATATTTCAGGTACATGACCTTTTCAGTTCTAAAGCACAGGCTAAGATATTTTTCTGATCTGCAGGGCGTGATAAACAGTCACATTTCATGGGTAATTCATAAGACTATTATAATACAGGGCTAGACAAATAGTGTTGTTGGTACTCGTATTATTGTAGTGCAATTATGCAGGACCCAATGATTCTATATTCTCATGTACAGGTGTCCCAGAAAGATGTTTACACATTATAATATGGACCATTAACAATGTGCATGTTATTCCTTTTGGGTCATCTGTATGACTAACTGCAGCATAAATGAATTTATGTTCACAACACGTGTAATAAAATGTCGACAATATATATTATGGATAGTAGTCGTAGCAACGGAAGGCAAACATTTAAAAAAAATCACCAATAGTATGTAATTGTCTCCAGGGTTGTTGTCAATGAAACTAAATAGATAAACTTCCAATAAAAGATTTTGGAGCCATCAAACTTTGAAAACCCGCTATATTCAGGCGACATTGAACACAGAGTGTAAATGTATCAGTGGTGATTATATTAAAATGAGGCATGGCGTAGGCAGTTCTTTCATAAAATCACTACAAAACAGAGGTGACTGTGGTTTATTTAACGACGCTGTCAGTTCCTGAAACTATATGTTGCCGAATGAAAGGATGATTAATGAATAACAAATTGGGAAGTATGTAAAATTAAGTTTGTCGTGGCCTAATTTAAGATATTATTCAAAGTTACTATCCAAAAATTTTCCTGGAGAGACTGAGGAAAGAGACAAATAACTGCAGTCAGTCTAATCGATCTCAGGGCCAAGACATCAATTCGGTAACTCCAAAAGACAAAGCAAAACGATCGACCATAACGTTAAGTGACAGGCCTGCCAATCTATAAATAAACTCTACAAAGTCACTATTACCTCTGTGTTTTTTTTTTCATTATCCTAATTACGGAACTGAAAACAATATAAAAAGTAGCATGGTACACCGAGGTAATTCAAAATTCCTTGTACAAAAAATTCTCTTCCCTAAGCGCTAATAACAGGGGTGTCAAAAATAAACAAATATTTAAATATAATTGTTTATTTTCTATATCCAAAGCTTACTTTTACTGCGAGCTTTGTCTAGGCCTAATATGTCAATATTCAAATCACTGGAAAAAATAAAGTGACATGTAAAGCATGATTGTTTAATCGGCCCGAATTTGAATTTATACACATTTCAAATATATTTTGGACCATGGAAATATAAACCGAATTACCCCTCGTTTCCACATTACACAACACTGAAGCGAGAAGCAGTCACTGGTATTTCAACTTAAAAGTAGCTAAAATATGTGAACGTTGCTGAATAAAATACTCTCGAGACGTGTAGTAAAGACACCGCAGCAATGGGTAGAACTCGGTCAATAATGATTGTTGTATCGATTAATCGATACGTCGATATTCAAGTGTTTCTCTTCTAGACAGTTCATTAATCAAGATCGGAGATTCTATATAAATTCCAAACTTGATGAAACTCTGTAATCAGTAATTATCTGATGGGTCTGTTCAGTTTCTACGGATATCCATCAATATTGTTTGTAGGGCCAGGTTCACACCACTGCGCGTAACTGTTTGGTTCAACGATGGCAGATTGATGAATAGCGTGATGTGTAAGATAAACGAAATGGATTCAGCTGAATTCTGTGGACCATCGGTTAGACATAGTTATTGAAGAATTAGGCCTAAGTGAAACCAATAAGTACAGACTGAAGAAAATGACATAACTAGGAGCTTCATAAGTCTGAGACTGAGGAAAATGACATAATTATGAGCTTCATGATTTGTGTACTCTTCAAAAAACAGTTTGTGTCAGGATTATAATTGAAGTTTCACAACCGAAGCAAAATTACGTCCATGGTTTATATTTCAAATTACTTCTAATTTAACAAAAGTAGCACTTGGCCTTTTGTTAGTGTTCAAATTATTTTACCATTTATAAGTTAAAAATAACAAACATTACTTGTAATGACTACGAAAATTCGTTTCCTTGTACTTGTATTAATGTTTTAGAAATTACACCCATTTACTTTCTGTCGCAGTCGAAATGTTAATAAGATTATCACATCAAGGAAGGTGAGATGGGCGGCGAACGCAGATGCAAGGGAAAAAGGAGAAGAAATTTTTAAAAATATGTATGGAAGTGATCACTTGTAAAATATAAGCGTACATTGGAGAATAATATTAAAGTGAAACTTAAGAAATTAAGCATCAAGATAGCATTCAGTGGCAGGCTCTTGTAAACATCAAGTTCTATAAAAGGCTGGATATTTCTTGACAAAATCAGCAACTATTAGCTTCTCAGTAAGAGCTCTAATGGATGCAGTTTTACAATAATAATAAGAGAAAAGAATAACTTTCAAGTTCCAGCTGAAAGATTTATTAATAAAACTAGAAGAAGTACACAAACACGAAAGAAAAATTAGAATTTCTGTCTGCTGCAATGCGCTTCTAACGTCTCTCAAGTGAACTGCGAGTATGAAAAGCAATTTCCAGGCGATATTGCCACCCACAACACCTTCCAGTTACAACGGTCAGAAACCAGAACTACGGATGTGTCATATCCTCAGTGAGCCCGGGGATTATTTCCTAGAGACATGGATGAACTGTAAAGCCGACTAAATTACAGTCCACTACTGTAATCTTGAGACTTGCAAGGAATGCAGTAAGTCCGGAGCGTTAAAGGCAGACGCTGTCTTTCCTCCTCCCTCTTCACCCCACCTCCTCACCCCGCAAGTCTCAAGATTACAGTCGTGGACTGTACTTCAAACTATAGTGTAAGAAACTTCACCAACACGCCTCATATACACGCTAATAGACTGAGACTTAAGCTAAGCGGTACATCAGTTGTTACTAGCACCCAACATTTAAACGCCAACTAAACGAAAATCAGATAGTGTCCCGAATTCTGGGATAATTTAGTCAAATCCTTGTCACCAAAGCGTACTTTCCTACTATCTATACGGTACAGGAGCTCAAAGTTATGCAGGTGGTTAAAAACTAAATTGTATGATTTGAGGACCTCACGGGGTTGAATACGAAGGTGGCTATTTTCTGGGTTGTAGCGCCTTGTAGTCTGGTAGAAACTCACGAGCGCTTCAGAGGTTCTTGTTGCCTCCATTGTCAGGGCGATGGAGGCAGCAAGGACCTCTGAAACGTTGATAAACTTCTATCAGACTATACGGCGCTACAACCCAGAAGACAGACATCTTCAAAAACAGGATTGCTGTTTTTTGAGTCCAGAAGATAACGTAAAAATGTCCGCCATTGAATTAGGTAAATAATGAAAATGTTAATACATATTTCCGAATGGTTTGAGTTCCATCTTAGAATATTGTAAAGAACGGTATCGCTAACACAATTTATTCAGTGTGCTGAAAGTTGCAACGTCTTTAATAATATCATTAGCGTAACGAGAAAATCGAAGGTGATTAAATTTGGTAGTCGCAGTTGCAGTTGTAGGAGTCGGTCTTTAGATTTTTTCTATCAAGTATTACCTTTCCACTTAGTTACAGACGTAAGGAAATAAAATTCGTCATTCATAACGACTGGTACCTTCAACTGAAACACGTAAAATTTATAATTTCGTTTAGGTTTCATTAAACTATATAATTACGCCGTATTTTCATCCACCCAAATGTACCTAGTTAGACTAAAATAATGTGGATAAAATTAAGCGAGAAAGTGATTTATAGGATTCGTGCTTTTACAATTTAATAAAATACGACTGTTTACATTTACAGTTATCACTTTAGGTTTTGGAAACTACTCTTACAATTTTGAGTTTGACGCCATGACTTGGTGCTTATTTGCCATAAAATACACAGCTGTTTAGGTACCAAGTTACTTTTTTGTAAAACGATTTACTTTTTTAAGATTTTACAGGATGACAATTGCCATACAGGAACGGGACACATGAAGACACAAATGTTATAATTAGTATTTTGTACCATGCAAATCCATGCGGCCTACGGAAAACAGCTACATATTTTTTACACTGCTGTACAGACACACCATAACTATCGAAATTCATGAAATGTAAGAAAAGCCAAACTTAATGCAGGTTAAGTTACACAAAGATTATTTTTTTGCCTACAAATAATTAGGATTTCTACAGCGTCATTCATCTTTATCTTATCACACTGATAAAAATTATTCCAGGACTCTTGCAGATAGCTACAATTTTTTAAGAAACACGTATTCAGTGTAAATACTTTTTGTGCGATTAGATTTACAATCTACAAACTATTAAAATTTGAAGAGCAATCAGGAGATGCAAATATGAACGGATAGCAGAACCCTTAGACACATCGCACACAGCCTATATACGTGCGTGCGATGCTTTCAACCTTAATGTAAAAGGCGGATAGAAGGACGGCAAATTAATATATACCTATTCTTCAATTTACAAATTTTCACTACACGTAAACATAAATATATGCCTATTTTTCAAATTACGAACATTATTTTCGCTACAACTAAGAAAATGTCTTATCATTTACTCTTTATGATTATTATACGTACGGTAATTCAGGCTTTAATAAATACAATTGTTTATTCTTTACGTAAATTATGTTTACACTTTGACTATAGTAACTTTTGTGTGATATAAACACTTTATTAGTGCCTGAGAAGGTTAAATAGGTAATAATTACTATAAAAATTTATATTATTCTAACACATTTGAGAAAAGTATTGGGTGACTTTTCTTGGCATTGGAAACCAATAAGAATGTCTTACATTGAAATTAATGGTAATTTTATTTTAGATTTAAGAATTTTTACCTTACAAACAATTTTCATCGAATGAAAATCGCTAGATGAATGTGACTGATGAAAATATTTCTAATAATGTGAAACATTATGTAAATATTTTCATTTAAAGCATTTAGACTAATAGAACTAGCGTTTAAACAATATTCTATGGTAGACTTTGTTTAGTGTAATTTCCGTCATTTCTAGAAGCACAACTGACCCGTGTGTCTGTCCACAGCGGCAGCTAGACGTCAAGGGATACCAGTGCTCCAGTGACCTTAGATACATCCTCTTTCGTCACAATGTCAAATCTGTGAGTATTAAAGCAAACGATTATCTCAAACCACACACTACATCACGCATAATAACACGTGAAACCATTCCCAAAAATATTTTTCCACGCTTCTGTTTTAGTACAGCCTGTTTCCACAACATAAATGATCATTTCTTAAACGCCACGAAGACTTACCATTGACTGTTCAGAGATGAGGAATTTCGTTTCACTAAACTTCTTAGCAAGTAAATTCATTCAGAATGGAAGAGAGAGTGTTTTAGACAAAACGTCTTAATTATAAACCCTTTTAAGCCGCAAATAATCTAAATAATATTCAAGAATTCAGTTCGTATCTCAAATAAAACACAACACTTCTCCATTACGAAGATCAGCGTGTTAATTAAGGTTAAGGAAATAATCCCTGTTTACAGTGGGAATAATTAAAAATCTTTAAGTATAAAATGCACGGTTACTGAATGTTGAAGCAGTAGTACAAGTAGTTGCTACTGGGATTTAAGGGGTTAAGCATGCGCGTTCTATTTTTTGTACACTAATTGTCATTTATACTGAAATCGTTGGTCGTGCACATTCGAGAGTGTACATGGTAATAACGCGGGCAAAAAAATAATAAGTTCTCTGTGATTTTACATGTGACACTTGTATTAAGTTCTTATAACGTAGATACAGATATATTATATAACAAAAATATAATGAAAGACATATTTTGAATATTATAACTCAAAATGAAGGCTTCAAAGGAAGGTAGTTACAAAACATATACTATGCAGAATGAAGACAAAATAGAATATGAAAGCAGAAACTGGGGTAATATACCACTGGACACTGTATACGTAGAGGGTTTAGAAAAGACAATTATACGCAGTTCTGCATAGTTCATGACTATCATAAACACAATTCATACTGTTTCAGAATTCATTAACACTCCGGATGTAATTTAGCAACGTTTCAGTACATGTAAACATACATACTGCATTTAGTTAAACATAACGGTTATAAAGTGTCATTCAACGTTTCAGATGAAACGCATTTACACCTTTAGTACGGCATGTGAATGAAACTTATATATATATATATATATATATCAAAAATTTCCAATGCACAAAAAGTATACCTTACGTAAAAACTGTATGAATTTAAAATAAACCAAACTAAATCTAAATCGAACTGGTTTGATAAATTTTCGTTTGGGGTTGTTATAAAGGATGTAATTAAAATATGTCTTGTAGTTTCGGTTGTATTACTGACAGACAGACCCTGAAACTGACGAGTGCTTTTCCAAGCGCGTCCGATATTGCTGAATTACGTGTGCATTGTTTGAAAGCTAATATTTCTGAGGCAACGAATTTTCGGAAGTGGCAGCAACTGTTTCTTATTTATTTTATGGAGCTAATTAACTTTCTGTAGGGTTTCTGAAGCCTTCCTCGTAGCCGCGCATAACCCCGGGCGGGGCGGAAGACGTAAAAGTCTAATTGTCTCACTCCTTCGTCTCTTTCCACTGTAATTCATTCCTTCAGAAGTTTATATTAACTTCTTGCAAATGAGAAAAGCGCTTGAAGGGAGGAGGGGGAAGAGTTACACCACGGGAGATGCAGCACCGACAGATCGGTCTCATCTTCTTATACACTCGATCCATAAATGTATACATACATTCAATGAAATAAAGACATTTTAATAACCTACTTCAGAACTGGCACTTAGTGAATTAGCGAATCTAGTGCAGGTTTTCAAAATGACCACCGTTAGCTTCGAACACAGTTGACAGCGATGTTCAACAGACTGACAAGGTTAATATTCCATATTATAATATAATAGTCTTTTTCAGACATTCCGTACATGTTTTAAATTCCGGATATGTATGTATGTCTGTGTTCATTTGTATACCCGCCTATAGCTCCAGAAGGGTTAAGCCGATTTGTACAGCATTTGGCATTTGCTTATTCCTTGAGACCAGAAAGATAACTAAAGAGAAGTAGAACTCCGAGATATGTGCAATGAGTTCGATTCCCGGTGAGGGCTGGCTGTTCCTGTAGCTCGTAAACTAAGCAAGATAGAACAACGGTGAGATGACCAAAGTTGTTTGTTTAGATTAGGAGTTTACAGAATAAATACGAAGAAACCGAAATACTATCCTGAGTTCGATTCCCGGTGAATATGTTTTCTGTAGACTGGAAACTAAGCGTGGCAGAACAACGGCTCAAAGAACTAAATTATTTGTTTCGGCGAGGAGATTACAGGTATCAAGCTGACAAACCCAAAATCTGCGTAGTTAATAATAATAAGGTAATAATTAATCGCTACTCATATAATTCCTAAAATTCAATCAAAATGACAAAATGCATAGGCTTTATAAAAGAATCACAAAGTGATTTTCTAACATAAATTTTGGCAATATGCTGTTTAGATTACTCCAGTAACACTTACAACTTACAGATTCACTTTAATATTATACTCCTATCTACAACACTGTCTTCTGAGGTGTTTCTTCCCTTCCGGTTTTCGAATAAAATTTTGTATGCATTCCTCACTGGTTCAACGCGTTCTACATGTCCTGGCAATTACATCCCACTTGATTTTTTGATTTTAATGACAGGCCTATTTATTGAAGAGAACAAATTATAAAACCTCTCATTCTTCAGTTTTGTTCAGCCTTTGTTATTTCGAATTGTTTCAACCCAAATATTCCTCTAAGCAAATAGCATAAAACTAGCTCCACATTTTAATGGCATCACAATGCTTGGTAGTGTTGAATATTTTTAACAATATAACTTTTACGTAACTTACGTTTTCGGAGTTTAGCCGCATCAAATGTTGAAAATTATCTACGTTTTCGGCAAACAATGCAATTGCCATCATCAGGGTGAATGTATCGTGGTTGTATAGCAGCCCGCTCTTTCGGTCCACCAATCAGAACTATTATATTCTACTTGCCACCTACTGCCTGCTTTATATAAGGTTTCTAAATAATCCCAACCTGAAGATGGAAACTGCCCAAACGTGGCTTATCTCCAAAAGCCGATGTTACACATTCAATCCCAGCTATAAGTAAAGCCGTCCCGCTACGCGCTATGTAAGTCTTTGGTGGGAGTGGAGGTATAGCTACTACTCTTTCTGGACTTTGGCACTATATGTGAGTGAGTGATCAACATCACGACCTGGCCGCGCATTACCCCCGGAAAAGGACCCCGTTACTCATTGGATAGGAGGTTGGGTGGGCACCAGATTTGGTCTGGAAGCAGAGGCTAGAGAAAAAACTCTCTGCCCCCGTCGTGGATCGAACCCCTGTTGTCCAGCCCGTAGCTAGTCACTGTACTGACACAACTATCTCGGCCCCAATTTAAATGATAGCTTAATAAAATGTAAATACTCGCACATTCATATATCACCATTCTATGTTCGGTTATAAGGGGTATTACACGCAAAATAAATTTTTCTAACTTAATAAGATCCTCGCCTTTATATGGGGCATTCCTCTATCACAAACGAGGTTCTAAAGACCGAGTTATAGCCATACAATCGCCCCACCACATGTGAGGAATTTCCACTACCTTATTCTAGAAAAAAAAACAAAGGAAACGAACGAATATGAAGATCGCTGTCTTCCGGAATGTTATACATATTAAGTAGGCACGAAATCTGATATAGTGGAAATGCCATTATCCCAGTATTCTGCAACTGTTTTGCTAACACAGATTAAAGGCGTGCCTTGAATGTTTATAAAAGACTGCTAATTCTCACGTTATAGTTAGAGAAATGCAATATCATATATTTTGCAATTATCTTAAAACCTTGCATACCATGCGGTGTATTGATATACAAATTCATGCATACAAACAAAACTGTTTACACATTAAACAACACTTTGTGCTAAACGCTTTCCGACCTCAAGAGGCAATTAGAATTTGTAATGCACATACACTAGTTCATTATCGATATTTTTATCCATATGCCATGATTTCTTACCATATGCCTGTAATTGATAATTGCCCTATACTCCAAAAGAACATGACGGTATGTTCGTCTGAAACGTTGATATCTATTTACAGGTCCACGTGGTTTTATAACTCTGACTACCAACATTGACATCTTTGTCGCCGTGAGAAATTCAATTCTCAACATACAATTATTTATTTTACAGGCGTTTTCTTCACAACCTGATGTAAATCAAAATAGTTGTGATCAACTTTCTTTGAATTAACTTTTCATGAGTTTACTGACGCACAACCGTAGCAAATTGATCAAAAGTCCCAAACAACCTATAGAGATACTTACAATTCTATTGCCTTTAACATTTTACGTACTTTTCAAATTATATTAAGTTTAAAACTTGGAAACATTCTTGAGACTGAATACTAACCTAATGCATACTATGAGAGATATATCTTGTTTAGAAACCGATCATTTCGTTTCTGTTCTGAATGTTTTTAATGTCAGTCAGTGAAAGAAGCTTCTGCTATTTATTATTTTTCATCTGTTTGTATATTAATATTTGGTAAATATATATATATACACGTAAATTAATATAATTTAGCTTTAATTATAACGGTATGGAAGGGGAACGCTAAGCAATTTTACAAGCAATATTTTGAAGACTTCTCTCTTCTGGGTTGTTGCGCCGTGTAGTATGGTAGATGTTTACCAAGGCTTCAGAGGTCATACTGCCTCCGTTATCAGGGGATGGGTTGTTGCATCGTGTAGTATCATCGCCCTGATGACGGAGGCAGTATGACCTCTGAAGCCTCGATAAACATCTACCATACTACATGGTGCAACAACCCAGAAGACAGAAATCTTTATACTCACCGCTTCGAAAACCTCAAATCTTACAAACAATGATTTGTTTAGTTCACCAAGAATTGAGTCTAAGAACTAAGAAGTAAGCAATTCTCAACTAATTATCACCTAGAAAAGGACTTTAAATTAGCAGATTGTAAATTACGTTACCATGGAAACAAACAGCAGACGGAGGCTTACTCGAGTTAGGTCATCCAAACGGTTTGGCAAGTTGCCTATCCCAGACACTAGCAGTCCGATTTATTGATGCGAACAAAAGATTTAGAGAAAGAAAACTTCTCCTCATAGGACTTATGTATCCATTCTTATTTATTCTGTTTTTCTTTCGTAGGTATTTCGTCAATCATTCACAGCCCACTACACAGTATATGACGTCACTAACGAGTAAGTATTATATTTTTTATAGCCTAACTTAAGGAGTGACCATCAATTCTTGCGCATAAGGGTATTGTTTGTTTTGTATTTTTCTGTGCATTATTATTATCATTATAATTATTATTATTTGTTTGTTGTCTATTCATCACGTAAAATTTCTTCCTTTGCTAGATGTAAATCAGCTATAAATACGGTGTGCAAAGAAATCGATATATTAAGTAAATATCTGGTTACACTTAATCGTAACTATTTTTGCTGCTAGTAACATTTTGTTCACATATTATTTTATGTATCATAATTTCATAACTTTATTATAACTTATTTATTGTTATTCTTCTTTTATTTGTCTGTTGTTTGTTTTTTGTGCTGTATCTGTAATGGGAAATTTGGCTGTTGATGCAGCACAGAAAAAATTAAATTATTATTATTGTTGTTACTGTTATTATTATTAAACGGCGGTTGCATCGTTGACTCGGGGCACACCTAGCCTCTTACATAATATATTATTTGATATGTATTATATTAAAATATATTGGAAACATTACATCATTAAATGTGGTATTCCTGGAATAGACGTTTTTCTCATTTTCTTCATTTTTTATGCACCACACTTACCATACAGATATTTTACAACTCAGTGTCTTTTCATTTGCTCCAGTAATTAGTTACTGGTGGTTCTGTACTCTGTATTCCACAAGATCCTTGCATATAAATATCTACTCGACTTTTACTTCAGCAATCCACATTTGATAATGGCGATGCAACAATACAATTATCTAATTAATCCTAAATCAGAAAGAAGTCCACTGTCATGTACTTTCAACCTCCCGCGTCACACACTAGTCAAGGTAAGGAAACGCTAGTTACTAGGCCGCTGCTCACGCCAGTTGCGCAAAAACTGTGCAGGCGCGAACACCTTACTTCGCATCGAAATCGTTTGTTCTTGTTCCTAAGTGATTTAGCAATGCGTATCCTGACAAAGAGTAAGTATGGTTACATTTTAAATGGAACACATATTGAAGTGATCGCAGTATAAAATATTTACATGACAAAAACTGAAACATTCATTTCAAACTTTAATTTTGACGCTCGAATAAAGAGGTAGTGCATGTTCATGATTTAATATGTATCAAGAAAAATATATAATGAATTAATAAATTATACTGTTTACCTAGTATAATTAGGGTGATCAAATCTAGAAGATTTGCATTTGCAGGACATGTGGCGCGCATGGAGGGACGTGAGAAATACGTACAATATTTTTGTTGTAAAATCCAAAATTAAGATACCATTTCAATGATCTAGGCTTAATGAGAGGATAATATGTTTTAAAATGTGACCATAAGGAAAATATTAGAAGTTTTAGACTTGATTTAATACTCTCAAGTCAAGGTTGAGTGGTGATTTTTTTATCTATGGGAATTTATAACTTATTATTTTGGTTAATATTTAAAAAACTTCTAGCCTCTGCGTCCAGACCGGCTCTGGGGCCCACCCAGCCTCCTCTACAATGGGTACCGGGGTCCTTTCCCGGGGGTAAAGCCGGCCGGGGTGTGATGCTGACCACTCACCCCCATCTAGTGCCGAGGTCAAGGAAGGGAGGAGCTATACCTCCTCTCACCCCAAACGCCTACATGGCGTATAGTGGGACAAACTTTACTTTACTTTACTTCACTTTAAAAAACTAGTTTTTTATCTAGAGGTAAATTATAGTGCAAAAGGTGTAGAATCTACACAATTGAAAATAACAAACTGGTGAACAATATTTCGTGCTTACATACTTAAAATTTATTGGTTAGAAAATACATAAGCAATGGACAGTAAACAAGTTCATGGTCCAAACGATGTTTCTGCCACACTGTTTGGGCACTCCTGTTTAATTGCAACCTCATTCTTCTAAATCTCACTTGACAGAATGCGACTAATTAAAGTCAAAATTATATGATTGTGTTGGTGCTGGAACCAATATTTAGGTACTTACAGCACAGCAGATCGATGTTACAACCACAAACTATGAGACTGTCATTTTGAGTGATCGGTTAGTGTTTATGGGCGTTCATCATAAAACCGAATTGCTGGCAACGGCGAGTGACCAGAGAGAAATTTCCGATCAAAAACATTTTAATTCCATAAAACACGTGGCCTTGAAACCGCCTTTTCTTCCACAAGAATATGTTTCCTTTGTTTAAAATTTATATTTCATGATGACTTACAATATGAAACAAACTCACACATCTTGATTGACTGATTCTTGGATTAATGACACTTTTCAACTGCATCGGTTACAATAGTGACCAGTGACAGTATCGCCGTGAAAAATACATCGGAGGTGATGTTGAAGGAAGTGATCGTGATCTGTTTTATTTTATTATCCTAGTATTGTATAGACTGAGAGAAACCACGAAAAGCTTCTGTAAGGAAATCCGATCTGAGCTTCAGAATTCAAACCTGGGATCTCCTGAACACAAAGCACGAGTGATAACTGTTTTATCGATACATTCAGTCATTGATAAACCTCCATATGACAAAACACAGCTGTTCTATTACTAACACAATAATAATAATAATAATTCAATTCAATTCAATTCATTTATTTAAGTGCTTGACCACAGCCAGATGAGGCCAATAACAGTCAAGCACTGAACAACAGTACAGGATGAAATATAATACAATAATAACATTCATTTCTATAATAATAAAAGTAAAACATTACAAATACAAAATCAAACAAATGAAACTAAATATATAAATGTACCATATTATTATTAATAATAATAATAATAATATTAATTCAATTCCTTTATTGAGTGATAATTCACAAGTAAATGGGCTAAATAATATGACTAAGTAATACAATAATTCAATTCATCGATACTAAAAAACCAATAAAAAACTAGAAACACTTACAAGATTAAATGCTATAACAATTCAATTCATTTATTAAAGTGCCTAACAACAGCCAAAAAGGCCAATAACAGCCAAGCACTAACAATACAAACATTACAATACAAAAACAAACAAACAATAAACTAAATATACAAATGTACAATTCAATTCAATTCAGTTCATTTATTAAAATGCTTGACAACAGCCTAAACGCCAATAACAGCCAAGCACTAACAAAATACAAACCTTACAATACAAATACAAACAAACAAAAAACTGAATATATAAATATACAAAATTATACAAAATTAATTTATTACAAAATAATTAATAAGTAAAAAATAAACACTAATAAAACACTAATAAAATAAAAGGAACAAAATAAAAACAAAAATCAAATTAAAACAAATAACCAAGCTAGATCCAATCAAGGCCACTCTCTAAATCATTTCTCTTATTGAGAAAGTGCCCTCAAAAGAAACAATGTTTATACCAAACACGTCCAAAAATTTGCATACGTCATTTGCAGCAATGACACACCTGGCTGAAGGACTATGCCTAAACGCACTGCACACACTAAACATAGAAAATTCTCTTACTTGCCTTGACGGCACACGAATACCAACAGTGTTCATGATGGAATTGCAATTTATTTTGTCCTTAAATACATTAATAAGAAATAAAGCATCGAGATGCCGTCGCCTAGTATAAAGTGTTCTGAAATTTAAAGTAGTTAAAATCAATTCATATTTACGTGTGATATTAAACTGAAGAAACCGATAATTGCACAAATTGGCAAATTTCCTTTGGATATTTTCTAATTTATTAGAATCTGTCTGTGTAAGATTATTCCAAACGACCGGGGCATACTCAAGCTTAGACCTAATTAAAGCATTATATAAAACAACAAGAATGTCTAAAGAGGAAAAGTTATAAGTAATAAAACGAATAAGCCCTAAGGTCCTTAATGCCTGTGTATGAACAAAATTTACATGGCAATGAAAATATAGCTTAGTGTCAAACAAGACACCAAGATCTTTTATACAATCAGTACGGGAAATTAAAATATCACTGATAAAGTAATTAAAATGAATACTGTTGGTTTTCCGTGTGAAAGATATAATTTTGGTTTTCTCAATGTTGAGTTCCATATTGTTAACATCGCACCACTGATGTACAGAATCAATATCTGCTTGAAGAAATTTGCAGTCATTCACCGATTTTATATCACAATATAGTTTCAAATCATCAGCAAATAAGAGAAATTTAGAATACTTAATTTTGTCACAAATGTCGTTAATAAAAACATTATATAAGAAAGGTCCCAAGGTAGAGCCTTGTGGAACTCCAGATAATACCGAGTAAGCAATCGTCCGTTTGACATCTGCATCGGAGATGGATGGAATATTAATAAAATCAGAGCAGGTGTAATCAGAATTATCCTGAGTATCAACAGAAGAAAAATATTTAGAAACAGAGGGAAAATGGTCTGCAAAGGCTTCGGCAATTAATTGAGTCTCAGTAATGATTTTGTTTCCAACTTCAATTTGGGTAACAGACTGGTCATTCTTTTTAAATTTTGAAATATATTTCCAAAAGTGCTTAGGTTGAGATCTTAAATTATCATCAATAAATTTCAACCAAACCAATCTATCTGCCTTAATATTTCTTTTAACTAGACTACGATAATACGAAAAAACACTATAATAATAATAATAAGACTTAAATTTCTTGAATTTCTTAAAATCTCAGTAATGATTTTGTTTCCAACTTCAATTTGGGTAACAGACTGGTCATTCTTTTTAAATTTTGAAATATATTTCCAAAAGTGCTTAGGTTGAGATCTTAAATTATCATCAATAAGTTTCAACCAAACCAATCTATCTGCCTTAATATTTATTTTAACGAGACTACGATAATACGAAAAAATACAATTATTTCTGGGTCCTTGGTAATACCGAGGAATTCTCGTTTTTGTATCTTTGTATAAGGTTTGCGCATGCCTGCAGCTAGATGATTATCACTATTATTATTAAAATGGAGCTTATTCTTTGAAATCAGAGATATTATTCTTCCTAGTCGTAGAAATAATTGGGTGTGCTCGGTATCCGCATTCCACCGCCTCCTATTATAAGTCGGACGTGCAGCGATCCCGAGAAAGCTGTTCAGATTTAATATACAATGCGGTGCTATTCACTATTCAGCCCTTCTACAAAAAGTGCCATATCCCCGCTCCATATTAGCTTTATCTTCCGACATTTACCTCTAAATCCTTAAGAAATTAAACAGAAAAACTCACATTTTCTTCTAGGCTAATTGATTTCAAAGACTTTCAATACATGTTCTTCCCTAAAGTGAGAAACGAAGTTCCACAAGCATAAAAAAGAGTTAAAATTATTGGTCTTCGTGTTTTATCGTCGTATTTAGGTTTAAAATAGACTACAGTTCGTTCAAATTTATATTTATAATACTCTCTTATGTTTTTAAGCTGCATTTTAATATCAATTTATCTACTCGTTGTTCTGAAATGGTCTCCAAGATTTTGAGGTCAAAATTTTAAAAAGTTACATATCTAAAGTGTATGTGTAACATATCCCAATTTGAAAATATAATAATAATAATAATGCAGGATTCAAACGTTCTTATAAGAACAACAGTTCTTAAAAGTGGGAATTGTTTCAAAAGTCCCTGTGCACACACACACCCTTGATGACGCACGTGACGTGCGTGCACGTAACTGTGTGATCTTGACCACTACCTCCATTCAACTAATTGTGTCGCGGAACGTGAGTTCTTTGAACACGAGCAAATGCACAAGTACTTGTAATCACATATTATAAAGCGAATATCAACTCTTTCTTCAGAGTTAGTGAATAAGATAAAACTATAATGAACAGATGGACATGCACACAGATAGCTTCCTTGCAGATTTCCGCTCCGCTTTTTATGGGATAATTTGTCGTAGATAAAATTTAGTTTGTAAGATTTGGGGATTCTTTCTGCGACGAATATGACGATAGCTGATTTCTGGGATGTAGCACCGTGCAGGTTAATAGACATTGACCGATATTTCAGAGAACCTTACTGCCTTCATCATGAGGGTGGCGATCTGAGACCTCGGTCAAAATATTACCCATCAGACTACACCGTGCTACCTCGCAGAAAACAGCAATGTTTACAATTTAGTTGCTTCAGCATTTCAGCGATGCCAACTATAATCCAAATTTGTTAGCGACCAGCTGCGCGATTCAATTAGTGGATTGATTTCATGTTTCTGTTCGTAACTCCGCGGAAAAATTATTCAGAATTATTCACAGTTACAGGTGAAGATTTTTTTAAACTCCAACGCCAAAGTCGATATGTCAAGAATCGATGTCGTCACAAGGTGACAATGCTGTTACTTAATTAAGTACTAAACGAAATTACGCTTTCTGTAGTGAAAATTGGTAAGGTGGTTGTGAATAGTGGCATTTGAAAGAGATACTAAAGTAAATCGATAGAGAAAATTCCTCGCCTTTGTGGAAACGGTAGATTCATTATCGAGTTTACAAGAGCTCGCCATTAGTTCCTATCCTGAGCCAGATGAATCCAGTCCACACCGTCAAAAACTATTTTCATAAGATTCGTTTAAGATTGTGAACCATAATTTGCGTAGAAGGGCTGAGGAAAACTGAAAACCGTTAGTCAATATAGCCTGGCTGAAAATTGATCCAACGACCTACAAATACGAAAAATGAGTACTACGCACTCAACTCCGACATTCTGCGTGGTAGACAGAAAACATAACGGACCTACGAAATCCATACTTTGCAAGGAATCCAAAAAACAAAACTTTATCAAATAAAATAATACAGAACGTTATGAGTTAAAGCATTTCGTGCCACATATCATAATTTGCAACTATCGTTTCAGATATTTTCCAACATGTTTAATATTTGAAAAAGGAAGAATGGTTTCTGGCTGTGCTGCGTAAAATCTGTAGTGTTATAATCTCTGAAATGGTCGGATTTTGTGCGCAGTTAAGTGAACATTAAGAATGATGATGTAAGGGACGTAGCAAAATATGTGTACAGCAGCAGAACACAACACTTCTTTTCCTCTTGTTCTACCGCAGCCACCACATCCCTATCAGACTGAACGACGCCCCCAAAGTACAGCAGTCTCGGCTACAGCATGTCACGTGGCTTGGCAATACTACTGCCCTCATCTTGGTGGCTGAGAATGACATCTATGTGCGTCTGTCGCCAGATGGCGGACAGGACTTTCGCCTTACAGTCTCTGGACAACCTGGAACGATCTATAACGGCATTCCCGATTGGCTGTACCAGGGTGAGTGGTAGTAGCTACATCCAGACCGATTCTCGGGCACATACAGTCTTCTAACAGAGGACTAGTACCCCAGATCCCTCCAGAAACAAAGTGGTGTTAGATGACACCGATTTAACGCGAGGTGTTTGAACATAAAGCAATGTTTACCTCTGACCAACTCAACGAGCAAAGTCCTTCTTTAAAGTTAATATTCTTTCACTTGTTAAATAATGCCCCTGTCATTTATTGAGACAGAAAATGTATTGCCGAAATGCTACAATCTCTCGTATTTTAAAGTGTTTATCTCCACTACACTAATTAAATATCTGGTTCCACATGGAGAAATTCTATATTGTGATAAAAGAAAGAAAATATTGGGCAGAAAGAGATCAACTAAATATACGTATATCGCCTACAAGGTGAATAGTTATGTGGAATTAGCAAGTCAAACATTCTATTTAGTAGCCACACACTGACAACAGCGCTCTTACGTATATAACTTCGCCTTTGCCAGAAAAAACAATGTTGTTTTGAAATTTTTAAAAAATGTCCCGGAAATTGTATTCTAGGTATTCCACTGTATGAAACATAAATAAAAGGGCCTCTGTGCTTTTCATATTCAACATAGATACGATAAATAGCATCACAATTCAAAAGAGTGAGGACTATCGATTCGAAAGTTTTAAACACTACTGCACTCCTCTGTTTACAGAGGACATCCTCTCGTCGCCCGAGGCACTGTGGGGGTCGCCAGATGGGACCCACATCATGTACGCCTCCTTTAATGACTCTGAAGTTCGAATCCTGGCCTTCCCGTGGTTCGGATCTGCCTCCGTTAGCGGTTCTATCAAAGGGGGCGCTGGTATATGGACGTTTCCCGAGTCCCGTACAGTGCGCTACCCTACGGTGAGTTTCAGCACTATTAAGTGACTTGTCTAGTTATTTCATAATTTATTTTAATTATTATTCCATTATTTACTTCAGCCTGCGGGTTGATATTTGAAGCCGGGACCTCCCGGAACCAACTCGATCACAACGTACGGTAGTCCACGCCTTTACAAACTGTTTTATTAAGATAAATCTAAAGTAGGCTAAATTATAAATTAGTTTTTAATGACAGCCGTTAAATATAATCAATAATTATACAATATTTTATTTTCCGTCTATACACAAACTTAAAATAATGTTGTTTAAAATTACTTAAAATTATAACATTCTCAGTAGATACTG